TGATACAAAAAAGACGAGACTGGCAGACTATTGGCAAAGATAGGGACATCTGAAAGGGTTGAAGGAGACCCAAAGAAGTTTCACTTCTGACATGTGTACCTACTTTGTACGCACGCACTTTTTTTATTATTATTATATTACTTTGCGAGGTTTTTGAAAATCTTGAGATGATGTTATCCACCTACACAGATTTCTCAAGCTGCAATGAGAAACCCACATGGTACAGAAGACTGATCTCCTCTTGTATATTGTACCCATAATGAAATGGTTGCCGCTTCTTACAAGTATCTTATAAGACAGAGATCTACTACTACTACTACTTCTACTTAAAAGAATAGAGATAATTTTTTGCCAGTTATTCTTGACTCTCTTGACATAAATCTTAATTATTTTACAATGTAAAAAAAATATTGTTATTCGATATGATTTAACAAATTTTAGTCCATTTCCAAGCTAACAAAATTAAATCGATCGATATTTGAACAGAAAGTTGACATGCCACTGTGAAGTTGTTACGCCTGTCAAAAAACACAGAAATTCGAAGTATTTCTAACCTTTTTTAAGCAAACACGAAACTATTTTCACTTTGTTATTTATGTTGATTCCGTAAAATCACCACGATATCTTTATTACACACTTTGAGGTACTCAGATGTTTTAAATATACTTAGTTATACATACTTTTAACACATTACCGTTATATTCTACTAAGTAACACTTACCTATCTGATTTTAACTCTTATTTTGTGTAATAAACTTATATTTTTATTAACAATAGTATTTTATTAAATAATGTTTAAAGAACTTTATTTTCTCATTACAAAAAATAATATATTTTATTTACGTGAGAAACTTAATATGTACCTATATACGAAAGAGATACACGTCGCCATCAGCCGTCCCAATTTTAGTCTAGGCTCATTCTGATATATATCTTTAATGCCCTTTTGAATTGGTTAAACACGCTAATATTAAGAATTTTAGTTGGAAGTTGATTAAATAATTACACGTCCTCATACTTAATAGACTTCTTCAAATAATTTGTACCCGGCTTCGGCAAGAAAAGCAAAGTAATTTTAAATAGCAGTGTATTATGTAACGGGATAATATAACTTTTAATCAAACACACTAAGATTTAGTAGATACTAACAGCCGTCTGTGCCTGAAGAAGGACGTCGTCTTTTTGAGTTTGTAACTGTAAGCAAGATTGAAATACGCTCATAGAAAGAAAAATCAATTGGTGCACAGCCGGGTGGGGTTCGAACCTGCGACCTCAGGGAAGACAGTGGCACATGCCAATAGTCCAACACTTATCTATGTAGTACATATTTTTTTAATAAAATTAGATGACTTTTGAATACTATTTACCTACATACTATATTGCTTAACTTAACCAAAGCCTACTTGCGTAATTAACGCGTGATTAGACTTGATAAATTTCGCGAATAGATTTAATGAAATGACAGTCAAAATACGATGGTCCAACCTTCATTTTCTCTATCTATTATGTTTAAGGCTGCTAATAGCATATTCTCGTGAAGGCTACCTTGTTAGAATTGCACAGGCGGCGACAAATATTGACTCAGCCCCTCAAAGCCTTTTTGACCCAAATATAATATTCTCGGAAACAAATCCGGGAGCAACGTGAGCTTGAAAACTTGTTTGTTGTCGGGTTTCATTAAATGGAATTTTGGTAAAAATATAAATTAGAAACTCGTGACAAAAATAGGTAGCGTTAGTAAGTTGTTACTTATTAAGTTAAGTTAGTTACTTATTTAATTTTCTTTTAAACATTTATAAATCAATTAGGATTAGGATTGATTGTTTTCATTGTAGGCTTTTTGTATTACTTTTAGTCAAGTTTTAAAGTTTTGTTGAAGCTTAAACTTTACAATTATTTTGAATCTATTTTAAAGTTATTTTAAATAATATGAACTTCAACTTATTAAATACTATTAAATACCTTCGCATATTTATTTAACACATTACAATTTACTGTAGCTGTTTTAAATACGAAATTGGCGGCGTACTTTTGGAAAAATTTACGATTTTTGACATTACTGCGAATTACTTGCCATGGCATGACATAAATTTTGTTTAGTTAAAATGCCTTTAACTGTATACGATATTAAGAAGACAGCTAATAAGTATACACATATACAAAGATGTATGTACAGGACAAATTTGGAACAAAATCTTAGTTACGTGATACATCCTGTTGTGATTTCTAAACAAACTTTTTCTTTAAGAAAATATTTTTTATTTATGTAAATTTTGTATGTTTATTCCTGCTGTATTTCCTGTAAGAAAGTTTCATTGGGACACAGTATTTATTTACTTATTGTATGCAAACATTGTAGGTGATATCGAAGTACTCCTCAATTACAAACGCAGAGTATATACACACGAAAATTACATGGAAATTATTTATATAATAGTATGTGATCGCTGCAAATGTGAAATTAAATAGATTAGAAGGTTTGTCTTGGAGATACTGCTTCCAACTGTTTAAAAAGCATACTCCAACAAAGGTCGGCAACGCACCCATTGAAATGGTGTCCATGGGCTGCGATGACTGCCCATTTTGGGCGTTCCGTCGGCTCATTTACCTATACTATAAAAAAATTAAAGATATCACAAAGTAAGGAAGTAATATAACAAAAATTTAACACACATACTTACAAAAATACCAACACCGATAGTTGTTATAGGCGCTATTATTGGAAATTCATTCACCAATTAAAGAAAAATGTCACCGCATATGTTATATATAAACTATATAGTTTTCACGTGAATATTATTAATATTTTTATTCATAAACTCTAATAAGAGGTAAGCCCCAATAGGTGAATTGTGTACCACGTGTCTAATATCGTTGCGACAATTATTGCGACTACGGGAGCGGAAAATATGAGAGGGACTCAAATTGGCTGCTTATGACACGACACTTGTTCCCCTTTTTAATGATGTATTAATGTATTTTAAGATTTCTCTGTAATTGGTTGGAAACTGGAGTTATATAATCTTTAAGATTAAGATCTTTAGCTTTATCCTAAGTGTTTTGGATAAATCTTGGTAAATGGTATATATACCTTGATTTTTAAAACTGCTATTCTCCAGAGCATTGGTGGCCTAGTGGCTTCAGCTTGCGACTCTCATCCCTGTAGTCATTCAGTATCAGTATTTTCGATCCCCAACTGTGCACCATAGACTTTCTTTCTATGTTCGCATTTAGTACTAACTTGAACGGTGAAGGAAAACATCGTGAAAACAGCGTGTGTCAGGCACAGGAGACTGATCGCCTATTTGCCTATTAGATTGACAAATGATCATGAAACAAGTATAGAATTCTGAGGCCCAGACCTAAAAGGGTTGTAGAGCCACTGATTTATGATCCTAAGAAATGGCTTTAACATTACGTAAATCTACATTAAGTTCCTATGTTCGATTTCCCGCGGTAATAACAATTATTTCGGGTTTGAAGACAAAAGTCTAAATATATTTATACAAGTACGTAACTTAATTCAGAAAAAGACCACAGACACATAAAACACAGTAATATGTATCAATTATTTATTAATTTAATTGTCCAACCCGTCGTATAGGTATATACTACGAGTACATAACGACCTATAAATAATACAATAGTATTGTCACATTTAGTAACCTCACTATACTTACAGATTCAATTGAAAGATCAAACTCTCTCTCTTTCCCTCTTATTAATTAAAATTAATAACCATTTATACCCCACAATTAATTACTCAACAAATTCTCTCTCAGGGGATTACAAAATATTTTGTCACCCCAACCCCAAGTCATGCAATTTCAGGCCTTATGCTCTTTATTTTTGTTCTCAATATTAAATATTACTAAATCAAATATTAAAAAATGAATTATGACAAAGAGAAAATAATTTTTGTACACTTGTAACTGACTGAATCGATTTTCAAATTAAAAACAAAACACTGTTACTCTTTGTAAATTGTTCATGGATTGTCTATGCTCAGATCTTTAAACTAGTTTACTATAACCATTTTTTCATTCGAAAAAATTGAATGTGCAATTCAAAATCTATTCAGATTTTTTAAATAAAAATAAAACACTGTTACTCTTTCTAAGTATATTGTTTATCGATTGTCTATGCTCATATCTATAAGCTATAACATTACCATTTTGTCGTTCCGAAAAAACTACAACACTTAATTTTTAAATTAAAAATTATCTTTAAATTTTTGTGACATTTCCAATTCCCTTTCGCTTTGTTGAGTCGTTTAGACATTCTTGTAGTAATTATTTTCGTGTTTGCCAATGTGAATTTATTATTCCCAAATTATAATAATAATGTCATATTATTTCGTGACTGTTTTGCGTGTGCTTGTACTATTTGTTTGTATTAAAAGGCAACGTATCTATAATATTACCAGTCTAACATTTTCTATTGTTCCTGTATTCATTGTTCAATTATCCTATATCGTCTAATTGAGGTAAATCAAGCGTAAATAGAGGTATGTACTCAGTGTTTAATATTTATTGTTAAACATGTACCAACAACCACCAACCCTTAAGCATCATGTTTATAATAGATTTGCATCGTGCAATTCAAATTTAGAAAAAAGCTTGATACACTTTTATTGTTTACTTATCGGGCGTTTACCGTGGTAGTTTTATTACTAGTCTAAAGATATTTAATAATCGACCCTGATTCGTATAGACGATGATTTCTACACTAATGAGTCACGAGTGGTAGTTAGTTTTTTTTTTATATAATAGGGGGGCAAACGAGCTTGCGGGACGACCAAAAAGGGCAGTCTACGCAGCCCATAGACACCCATTTTTAGTGACTTTGACTTTTGTTTTATAATTTATATCTGAAATATAAACTCCAAAGCGGACCTCCAAAAATAGTGATCTCAATTATTGTTGATGAGTAATGTTAAAGAAAGAAAATTGGGATACAATTAATAACTCTGGTATAACTTTAGTTGATTCATTTGGGCCATGATTGTCTTTTATTCCCCGCTGGGAAGGTATCGGCGGGCGTATTACAGTTGCACACAAATAATACTCGCCATTGCGCGTCTTTCATCTTTATTTTCGGGATTGGAATTTATAATAATACCTTAGATATTTAACCAGTCCAGAATTGAAATAGTGATGTAGCTCTTTCTTGGAAACTAGCATGTCTAAGACGGAAAATGTATGTCTGTCAGGTACAGGATAGCCTTCTTAGAGACATCATTTATTTATTTAACACTTTTAAACACGTTAAAATAATTGAGTAATATGGGGGGTATCAGTCCTTATCTCTTTAGACCGATCTCTTCCACTATCTATTTTATTAAATATATTTTTTCTATTACCTAATAATCAAAGATTATTAATAATAGAAAAAATATATATATATGAAGTAATCCGTGGTTATTGATAGGTTGTATTATTGAGTAGTCTATGTTTTGCTGTAACCATATTTATAAAAATAAGTATTTAAGTAATCATTCGTAAATATTTCAATGAATCAATAATAAAAGGCTTAATAATAATAATAATAATACATATTTAAATAAATGTTTCGATGCACCTGATGAGGTATAGCTCAATCGTAACTCCATACTTTTGTGGAGAATATACATTTATATAAAATTCACAATTGAAGTTATACTGAACCTAACGACACTTTAAGTTTAGCCTTGAACTTAAACTTAAATTCTCGGTTCGTTGACCTGTGAAATGCGCACGATTCACAATGACCAAATTAAAATAATATTTTTGTTATTGAAATAGACTTAGATATAAAAATATGTATGTAATTTTACGAGCAGTGTTGGCTTCAGCGTGCAACTTTCATCCCTGAGGTCGTAGGATCGATTCCCGGCTGTGCACCAATGGACTTTATTCTATGTGCACAATTAACATTCGGTGAAGGAAAACATTGTGAGGAAAGCGGCTTGTCTTAGACCCAAAAAGTCGACGGTGTGTGTCAGGCACAGGAGGCTGATGGCTGAGGCCCAGACCTTAAAAGGTTGTAGTTGCCACAGATTTTTTTAAAAATAAATAATCCAAATATTATATACTAAAGAAATCATAACTATTTAGAACTAGAGAACTAGGAGTTGTCAATTACCTATACATTGGTACTTATATCCAAATATTTAAATCTTTTCAGTGCCGCTGGTGCAATGTGCGACAGGGGCTACAGCGTGAGCCACTTTCCCATGGCGCCTATGTCCATGAGCATCGGCAGCATGGAGGCTGTCATGAGCAAGAAGGGTCAGGAGGAGCATATAAAGCGACCCATGAACGCCTTCATGGTCTGGTCAAGGCTCCAAAGGCGGAAAATTGCCCAGGATAACCCCAAGATGCACAATTCGGAGATCTCTAAGCGATTAGGTAAGATATTATTCCTTAAAAGGTAAATCAGACTCAAAACTTGCTTTAAGATCTGTGGTAAGCCACTAAACCTTATAAAACACAAGCCTATATATAATCTTAATCAAACTACGGAAAGCGCAAATCATGTTTTATGAGTAAAGTCATTGTTAGTAACTTGTTGCTGAATTGTTTAGTAAGTAGGTCCTTAAATGTACATACCTACCTACTAAAATATACATTTGCGCTACAACCTTTTTAAGTCTAGGCCTCAGATTTGTCAATCTAATATGCAAGTTGATCGGCCTCCTGTGCTTGACACACGCTGTCGACGCGCTCCAGTTCCTTCAACGTTTGAGCTAATGTTAAAGCGCGTGTAGACAGAAAGTCCATTGGTGCACATCCGGGGATCGAACCTACAATCTCTGAGATGAGTCGCTAAAGCCAACTAACAATGCTATCAGGCTGCTTCGATTATAAAGCCTGTATATATACATTAATTATATATGTATAAGCTGTGGTGCCATAATTACTAAGTGATCTATCGAACATAAATGCAATTCCAATCCGTAACATAATTCCTGAGATTAACGCGTTTAACTAAACGACACACTCATTAACTGTCCATGAAAAGTGATTCAGACTTTCCTCTTATTAGACCGAAATACACCAAAAATCCTTGACAATTTAAACGCCTCAGTGATTCTTAATCAAAACATGAATCACATAAAATTGAAGCGCGGTGTTTTTGGTAAAAAATCGCTTTAAAAAGGTTGCCAAAAAGTTGTGTCCTTTTAAAAAACAGTCCCGCAATCAAGCGACGGGGTTTCGCAGCGGGTGTCCTGCCACCGAATTAATCAACGGACGTAAGCAAACGCTAGCCGAGATTTTAAAGCTATGTGTTGCTGTATAATATTTTAAAACAAGAAATAACTAATACAGTAAAACTTCTATAAAATGGTAGATTAGTTCCGCGTTGTAGGAGTATTTACGCATAACGCGCTTGTATGACCCCATATAATGCGTTATGTACAAATGATTCACGTTTAACTTTTCTCGACTCGGTATTTAAATCGAATATTAAGAAAAAACTATGTTATGAACGTAATAAGTGCGTACAAATCTTTATAAATTTAGACAATTATAACGTGTGTAATCCCCGCGTTATATGGGGGAATGTCCGTGTTATACGAAGGACGAATATCGCGTAATATCAAAATGCGTTTTAAGACCTACCGTGTTATAAAATAATGAAAACTCCCTTGCGTGTTTTGCGTATTCCGTTATACTTACGGAAACGGTTATGTGACGGAATGGTTATATATCTTTTAATGTTGACCCACTCTAACCTTTATAGTAAATATCATACATATATTTCAGTTTATTTCTATATCTTAAGAAATAAAATAACTCATTAAAATGATGAACGACATCGCGTATAATCTGCATAGTGGTTCTCAAATAATCTCCTGACGTGAATTATAAATCTTGACATCGCCCCTTCAAAATCCTTTTTACCACTTGCTCGTATAAAGAAAACATCGTCCAGACAAAACGACGGATAGGTATATAGGACTGATCGCCTTCCTCATATAAGAAGAATTATCAAAGAAGCATGGAATCTTGGCTCCTGATTTTACTGACAAGTTGGTAGGTGGCAACCTTTGGTGCCTGGCATATTACTTTGATTGAGTCTAAGACATGCTAGTTTTCTCGTTAAACTGAACTTCAACATAACAATTGCACAGCTCATGTCAATTGGTGCATAGAGTTGCAGAACCGAATAGAAAGTAAAAACTCTTTTAAAACCTACTGCAATTTATGTTAATAAATTTCAGAACCCTTAAACCCTCTGAAAACGAGACACGAAGCTCGTAAGAGTAACAAAACCTGCGCCATTCTGCCTGTGACGCGGAGGAAGCGCCATTTTCTATTTTTCCCGCCCATTTTTCGCGCTGCGGCTATAAATGCTTCAGTTTAGAGCTTAGCTCTTTGTTAGCGATCTATTGTCTAACTTTTCTAAATTAAAATTGTTCTGTCTTGTTATTTTTAGATCTTTTGTTAGTTGTGTGTTGCATAGTGCAATTGTATAGGTTGATACAATATATTTACTTTGGAATACTATTTTTATTTAAGATTATTTTTTTGTATTGTATGTACTACAAACTGTGCGCGTGTCAAGGTTATCACTCACACACACACACTCACACTCTTATCACACTTGCGAAACTGAATAGATGGTGACACTTTTTTGCTATTAGGAGCTTTTCTGTCATAACAAGCTGCTTGAAATAACTAATTCCTGCTGTTGTCATTCATTAATTTAGCCCAAATATTAATTAAATATAGGTGAAACACTTACTCGGTTAGAATTGTTGGTAAATATTACTATCATATAATAAATTATATTTTAAAACGTACATACAGTTTTGAAATTATATAACTGGAACAAAATTAAAAATTCTATATTACTAGCGCAGTCGTAGCAAAATCTAATTGATTGCATCGTGACAGTTGTCAGCCATTGTGCCGTAAACAATGAACAAACAAACGTACCTGTCGATAATTGAGGTGGCTGCTTTGTTTAAATGCATTAATAAATCGACAACAAAACGACAGTTGACAATCTGTTGTGCGACAAATGCGTGACTCGGTTCGCTTTTGAATTAAGCTCCGTGTTATGTAGGCTTTGGTTATCGGAAATAGGTAATTCAATTTTATTAGATTTACTTTCGCCCAATTTAGTATTATTAATAATGACAACATTTGAAAAGACGTTAATTAATAGTATCTATCTAAAAAATCTACAAAACCTACGCACTGACGTAGACAATATCTCGTTTAAAAATAGTTACCATCGCGATCTAAATCAAGTAAAAAAAAAATAACTAAAAAATTATGAAACAATTAAATTAATTATATTTGCTTTAATTCTCTCCTTTGGAAAGTTTTTATTGTTTTTATTAATAAAAGGTGTTTATTGATTTTTTTATTATAAAATAAATTCTTACACACTACTTCACAATTATCTTTTTTATTATTTGATTTAGGGTTGGAAGAGATCGTTGTAGCGGCCTATCGTTGCATAATGAAATTGTTTTACTATTATATTTAATGAATACAATCTTTATTAGCCACTATAGTTAGCAATATAATATATGTTTATAAGATGCTAAGCGTTTTCATTTGCAGTGGGTGGGCAAAAGTAGGTTTAGTTATAAAAAAATTTGTATAGCGGTCATACAAATTTTCGATACCATTTTTATAGTACGATTTGTCTTTAGCCTTAAAATAGGCGATAACCTCCTCATCAGCGCATTCTGTCCAGCGAGTATTCTCTTGAGGCCTGAGAACAGGAAAAAGTCGCCGGGGGCCAAAACTGGAGAATACGGAAGCAATGTTTGGTATAAGAAACCTTCCATTAGCGCCATTAGTATGAAAAATGAGTTGACTGAACACATTATGTAGACATTTAAATCGTTTTATGGTTTTCTAATGTAACATATAATGAATTTATTACATATAAAGTCAGTATATAACCAACTAAAAAATTAAGTATAAAACAATTACGGAAATCTATGGTAACATATCATAAATATAATCGTTAGTGAAACTACTGTATGTTAATGTTTATTTTGAGGCACCCTCCAAGTGTCGGGGGCGGCGCTAGTCCGCTTAATATTAATTAAGACGGGGCGGGCATTGTACACGGTTTGATTGCTTTCTCTTATCAAACCTGCTACGTCTTACAACTTTAGCATTTTAGTATCGCTTTATGCTCCTATTAAAACCATACTACAAATAGTAATATAGTTTCTTCTAAACTAATAATTAATAACTACAACGTTTTTGCTACCATTCCGTGAATTTTCGGAAGAGTTTTTCCGACCTCTTAAACAGCGATCGTTATGTTTTCCAAGTCCGAATAATGTTTATCAAGCCAAAACTTGGCTTCAATAGTATTTTACGCCTAAAAGCAATGATTTATTAACACATGAAATTCCTTTTTATCCAGTTTTTTAAACAAACATCTATAATATCACAAACTAATAGTATACGATAGTTGTCAAATTTATACACGTGTCTATTGAAGGTTAGGACTAACTAAAAACTATTAATTTTATAATATTTGCGCCATCTATGTGTAGCATGTTAGCTCTACAGCCCACGTATTATTTGCATAAAACCTAAATGGTATATAACTAAACCTTCCGCGGGAAGCACAGTATGTACCTACTTTGCTTCACACACACTTCACCACAGTATGTACCTAATTGATGAAAATCGGACAAAAGTTCGGTAGTTTTGTATCTAATTTTATATTATTTAAGAATATAACAATTTTAAATTTATAACTATCTTAAGTCTTAGCCAATGCGATAGATTCGATTAGAAAAGTACGTACTACGCAGAGCATTGCTACGCTCCGAGAACATATGAAAAAACAACCACGTTTATTATTTTATTATATTTTGGGAATCTATCCTAAACGTACTACCGCGCCACGAAAGCGGTCAAAAGTGTGGCATCATTTAAAATATAAGGAAGTTTTTCAAAAGTACACCGAAAAACACATTAATCATCGAACTAATTGTCTTAGTGTAACGAATTCTATATATTCCAAATCATATACAGTGTCTACCCTCACAAAATTAATTAACCATTTTCGATTCCCTCCCGACATATGCTAGATTCTAATTTAAACCGATTTTCCTCGCTCGCCTTATGTACCTTTTTGTATCATTTTTTGTTCGGTAATTAAACCTCCTATTGGGTAATCCAAGGGGCAACTGATACGTTTTTTATTCAAAATAAGTAGCCATGACTCGGTTCAGTTAAAGAAGGCTTTGTGAGCCATTTTTAAATGATCTTTTATTTACTGAAACGGAATCTTGTTTTTGTGGCGAAGGCTTTTTATATGGCTTACAATAATCTACACAATGATGCTCTATTAGGAAAAGATAACTTAAAAATGTAACCGACATTAAAGTATTATATTAGTTACTTAAATGTTAATTTATTTCCAACCCAAATATACAGTATTTACAATATTCTTAATCTACATAGTAATAATAAAAAAAATGATAAATAGAAAATTAAAACAAATTTGAAAAGTTTGGTCACTGTGGCAGTGTATCTTTAATGCTGGCAGCATTACCTCACTGTAAGTAATTATTATTTAATTACTTATATGTTTAATGAAGTAATTACTTTAAATAAATGCATAGAAGTAATACAAGACCAATAAACCCATATTCGTGGAATTATATTATGTCGATCGGTTGAATGCTGAAAGAATAACGAACGACGGGACTTAATATACGATATTCCTCGGGAGATTCAACTCTTACAGCCCCATGGGACGTAATTGACTGATAGAAGTGGATTATCGGGGGACCAAGAAAGGCTGATAGCATTACATGTAGATCCGGCACAGGTGTATTCAACACGTCCAGCAGTTCAGCGTTCTTGTTAGAATCACCATAGAGAATATTCTTATTAGTACAATCGCAATGCCAGCGCCCTCCAGTATTCGAACCCTGGTCATCAGTCATACACTCAACCATTAAGAATGTCAGAGTAATGTATCAAAAAGGAATATATATTGTATAGGTTTGTACACCGCTTATCGCAGCCAGCCAGTTCTGTCAGGGGCACACAAAAATACTGTTGTTTTGTTGTTCTATTGTAGTTGTTGTTATACCTTGTCGTCTGTTGTCGAAGGGCCCATTCGTTGTTTAATTACTACAGCCTTTTGTGCCTTTCAGTTACAAAGTTTTTTCATATTTTACGCTCGGGTGTGTTCGGGCTATGCGTTTTGTTGGCCGATCAGTTGCCCGATTTGTCGTGGTTTCTAATTAGATTTGTTATGTCCAAATATATTATGATATCCCAATATACAATAGAAGTTAGACTATTTAAATGGCTTTAATAACATTTATTGTGGATCTTGGATCAACCAAATGTTTAAGAGGAACTTTTGTAACTTTTTTTAAATTTTATGTTTCTTTCTTAAGATTACTTCACGTTTCATTAATTTAAATAGAGTAAGATAGCACCAGGCAGCCGCAGAGCTGGTGCTTTTCTTACTCAACGAATAAGTATCGCAATACAGCGAAGAAATGCTGCCAGCAGAAACTCTGCCACAGAGAACAAACTTTATAAATTTACTTTTAATTTTCTATGAAACAATCAATTCTTAATATTTATTATTATTAATACTATGGAGGTTAAGAATAATCTAAAAACTGTATATTTGTGTGTTGGAAATAAATCTGTATGCATAAGAGTCCCAAACCCAATGACATGAAAAATTAATTTTAATAACTAAAAGACGTTTAAGCATTCTTCATTTCTCATAATAATGAAAATAAGGAAACCCGCTGCGTTTTACATTAGCTTTATACTTAAAGCTCCTAGAAGCTTCATGTTCTCATATAAATTATTATAAAGCTAAAACAATATCTCTTCGGAGCATTCTTTCCATAAATTGTACTTGTTTTAAGTTGTTTATTGTTCAGAGCTTATGAGAGAACATAATAACATGTTGAAGAATAAAATTGTTGTATATATACGTTATTAATTGTGATTGTGTTACATAACCTAACGCTCAGTGGACACGAGAATTGAGTGTATACAATTATTCTGGGACCATTTTTACAATTTAGATTAATATAATATAACCTACTCGAATGTTTTGTCAGGGTGACGGATCACCGCGATATCTTTTGTTTATATTTGTGTATTTAATGTTATATATAGTTTTTAGACTTGGAATACCTAAAGGATTTACAAATTTCGTCATAGTCGTAGAATAGTGACGGATCTGACAAATAGTAAACTTTACAGGGCAGCCATTTCAAAATAATATAATGATGTTAGTTTTTGTCATGACTATTTTAATTCATAATCTGTTATTATGAAAATTGCCATACAAGCAAACAAAAGGGTTTGTTTTGAAACAAAATAAAAATATTAACATTAAATTACAGTTTTCTAAGAAAATCACATGTTTCTATGAGCGTCTATTAAATCCGTCACTTTACCGACTGATTAATTTGAAATTTAAAACACATGGTTTTTTAATGTAGCCGTAATATTTAGTCAATACAGTATCCAAATATGATAAAAGTGGATTTTGGATTTTTTTTCAAATCCGACATTGTTCTACGATCATGACGATTTGAGAGAATGGAGAATTTAGACTTTGATTTGAGACCTATACAAAACGCTTAAATACAAGTAATATTTATTTTTGTTATTGATTACATTAGATCTTATATGGTAAATGCAATATAGTCCAAACTTTCTGACCTCAAAACGCATTAGTAGAACAATAGTACCCAAACATCGAAAAGCCAAAAGATACTATTAAAATTTAATAAAATCGTGACCCAAATAGCATCTTGGCATTTCAATTTTCCGGACGAAAGGGTGGGCTCCTTCGGCTTTGTGAGCGCGCCCCCCTCCCCCCATTGTCGCGCAGGCTTTCAGAGTAATGAAGAGCATTTTCGTCCGATTTCGAGTACAATGCACGTTTTAATACAAGGCAGAGAGGAAACTCTTTGTCGCTCGCGCGTTACATACGACTCTTGTGAGCTTTGTCTATCGTTTTTGTTCAACGATTGTTCCACAAAGCTGTGTAGAGCATTGTGTATTAACAATTTTGTTAATTGGAACATGTTGGGATGATTTTTGAAGTTAACCCTGTCAACGCCATTGATAAATTGGTATTGCAACACCGATTCAGTGTTGCTCGCTACTTGGTCAATTTCATTTATGTATTTTAGTATATCTATTTATGTACAATTTTTTACCTGTATATATTTTTGTAAATTGTTGAGAAAATATTTGGTACCGATAGCTTTTGCGGCAAAATAAAATACATGATAATTATGGTAAATGTTACAAAAAATTAAAAGTAAAAAATAATAATAAAAACACTTCAAATTTTAGATTTTACTTAAGCAAAAAATTACTAATAAAATAGCGAATTAGGTATCAGATAGGCCCTTAACAATGGTTTTTTTAAATGATTCCTTTGTATTATGAAAATTTAGCCACTATAGAAAATGTATCAAGTAGTAACATTTTTCTGTCTATATTTAGTATTTTTCAACAATACTTAGTAAATTGGTAAAAAATTTATGAAAAATTGTTTTAAATGTATACAGACATTGGTACCTTTTACGTTTTACTTTGTTCTCTTCAAGTACCTAAGTGTTTCATAGTAGGAGCCGCGTGCGATCATTATTCAATGTTGCCATTGTTCTCACTAGCTGCAGGAAATAATTACTGTATGTCGTGTTGGCAACACTGAAGACACGTGCGCGATTGTTAATTAAAATCATATCAATGGTTCAATTTGTTGCCATTTTTATGATAATTTAATTATTTTATTTGATATATGAGGTAATTTTTTACTAAATACTTCAGTTAAAAAACGCTCAGTTGTGGAACGATGGACTTCGAGGTGGAATTCCGTATTCTGCCTCGACGTCCGATGATGAAACGAGTATTGAAAAAAGAGGTTTTTTGTTTAATGAAAATCTCGACTACAGCATTCAAGACATGCCAACAATGCAGGCAATATAAATTTTACCACGACAAGCAATAGATGTTACAGATAAACAGACAATTGTTGCATTTCGTAAACGTCGTACAAATTAGCAACTTAACACCACTAAAAACAATGAGTAATTTATTCGAGAAAATGTATTTATTATGCAAATGCATGCATTAATAGCATCCAATGTCATTAAGATTCTGTATTTACATTACAATTGTAAGAGTCTTTGTTGTGAGACACAAAAGACGGGGAAAAATTTCTTAGTCGCAAACCGAGTATTGTCATGAAAGAATATTAGTTAGAAAATGCTTTTTACGAGATAAATAGACATTTCTCAACTTTGTATAAGACTTTTATTTCAATTAATTGCTATCAAAGCATTTTAAAACTTTAAAACGTATCTACAGACTCAGAAAACGTATCTATTAAAATCGTTATATCGTTGAGAAATCTTTTTTCACGTTCATTCATTTCCAAGGTTTTGTAATAACGTGATAATTTATCAGTAGTGTTGCAGGCCTATTGGCCTTTCTCAAATTCCCCGGTGGAGCCACCTAGAGTTCATTTCCTGAACAAGTATGTCCTATTTCGATAGAAGGTAAGTCGCTGTTCGTACATTGTAAGGCTTGACCGGGGTCCTTAATAGCTTGTGAACCAGTAAACCGGTTTCGCCACAATCCGTTGTAACAGAAGTTTTTGAATTCCGTCTGAACGCAAAAGGTACACAATTTAAATTGAAAATCGTTGCATATAAAATTAAATAAAATACATGAAAACTTTCGATCGTACAGGAAATAAGCAAGGTATACGGACTCCATTTTGACATAACAGTAGCAAAATACGATTCTTATCGAAACGCGTCGACAAAAGACGAAATACCCTCCCAAGTATCAGCAATAATGAGGAACCGGGAAAAACTTCTGTAGCGGAATGAAAAGCGCAAATTCGTCATTAGGCGTCGCTTTCCGCCATTGTTGTCGCCGTCTCGCTTACACTTGCGTGCGGTCGCGTGGGACGGAACAAGAGAGCGGATGGTCCTTCGACGGGATTGTTCCTTTCTATGTCGGCGACATTGTTTTCGCTTTATACCCGCCTGAATCAGAATTGTCTTGTCTGTTTCAATGGCCGGTCCCCTCCACGGTATCAATACAGCCTCCTATAAATGGGGGGACACAAAGGGTTGGTTCTCTTGAATCGAGTTGGGAGACAGGTCGTTCGATTATTGTATCGATTCAAAGGCATTGTTGCTGCAATGGAGAATGGTTAGCGCAAATTACTTTTCTCATTTTGTCGTTGTTATAGTTTGAAATGAGAATTTATACTGCCTTTTGTTTGACTCGATGGATTAGTTTAATACTTGTTGCTGTATGATATAAAGAATACTATATTTATTTAATGTTACATATAAGTACATTTGCTTTGTCTGTTATCATATAGTAACTTGAACGATGTGTTGTTTTTCAGGCTTACAGCTATTTCGTAAACATTATTTTCTTTAACAACATATTTAAATTAAAATGAATTATCATAGACATTTTCCACCTTAACAAAGATTGAGGAAAAATTTTGGAACTGGGAAGACTTTGACTTTATTTTGCAGTTGTATATTGCCTAGTGTTTTCTTTTATAATATGTATATATTGTGTAGCTGATTACCTACTTATAATCAAATATATAAAATTTTAAACGTATATTATTGCAAGTGTATTTCACAATTCGCACTCAACGTATGGAGTAAATAATAATATTTTATATTTTAGGTGCGGAATGGAAGTTACTCACAGAGGACGAGAAAAGACCGTTTATAGATGAGGCAAAGAGGCTAAGAGCGATTCACATGAAAGAACACCCGGACTACAAATACAGACCACGTAGAAAACCCAAGACTTTAAGAAAGGAGGGCTACCCATACTCGATACCATACCCCAGTGTGCCTATGGATGCGCTAAGAGCTGGTGAGTTGTATTACTTGTCTGCTCTAGAAATTATTTAATGTATTTATTTCGTATTCTTACAGCTTACATAAATTATATACAACAAAAAACAAATTTACTAAACATACCTATAGTCAAAAATGGAATAACATTTACAAAAAGTACGTCATACCTAATTTGGCTGTGTTCTCTGATGATGTGATAGTGAGAGTATGTACGTGTTTGTGGGTGGATCTCATGATGGTGGTGATTGAACGCTATGGATATTCTTCATTCTCCTTGTAAGCATATTACGCGATAGCTTTAACAAGTCAAGCCTTGTATTAAAAGAACAAAGTCAAGTATTAAAAGAAAATTTTACAAAATCCCTGCATTGGCCCGAGTGCTTTCATGTGAAGTATAAAATTGATATTAAAACATTCACAACTTAACGCCTAAAATAACTACAACATTTTTAAACTCTATTTTAAACTAACCGTTGATGAGACTAAAAAACTTGAGGCTTTTATAGGTGGTATAAATATACATTGACAGTAACAGCGGCCATCTTTGTTTAGAACGGTAATTTGGCGGTAATCGTTCGATCGACTGTCATTACGCGTTGTAAACCCACAGCTAATATTAGCGAATGACTAAAGATAATAGAGTATCGAGACAACAATGTAGGTTTTATTGCGGTACGTACATTGTTGCCGAATAAGTTATTTAATTTTCATAGCGTTTATAAGCCCTTTTTAGAACAAATGTATATAAAAGTAAAACGTAATGAAATGGGATGTAGTTATACTGTCTTTCCAGTAGGTATCTAAATTTTTCTTTATAATGCAACATAAGAGTTACGTTTAGAACTAGACTATTAATATAAAATAGACAAATATTTATTTCGTTATCCATACATACACTTCATATTATAATTCTTTAAATAATTTGTTCTGTTACACACTTAAAATATTCTATAATCTGCAAACAAGTGCCATTCGGCTGCAATTCGTGACTCGCAGACCGTCTTACTCAATAAATGTCATCGATTTTTGTCCAGCCATACTATTGGGATTGCATAATCTGACGGAGCTCCGTTTACCATAAATATATTACTTGCGTGAGCTACTGGCAACCCTTCATCTTATAAAGTAAGGAAATAAACTTTTAAACTATGAAAGTGATTTTTATTAACTTTTCACACTAGAAGATTATTAGTAGGTAATGGTAATAAAACTGACGTATTTTTTCGTTATTTAAATTTACGTACACATGTCTTAGAAGAGGAAATAGTGTGTTAAAAGATAAATTGTTTATTTGATGGCCGTCAAAGCAGAATACAAAATACCATCTGCATCACCTTGACGTCCGTCGTTCCACAACTGAGCGTTTCTTCAGGCAATTTTTTCCGCGCACCACCACTATGTGAAACCAGTTAAATGTAAAATTAGAAGCATTAATATGTATTTCTTTAATGACGAATCACAAGTGTACATTGTGTTACCTACGTGAATAAATGATTTTTGAATTTTTATTTTTTTGAGTTGCCCACTGAAGTATTTCCGAACCAATTCGACTTAAGGTCCTTCAAGAAAAGAGCGTACCAATTCTTAAAAGGGCGGCAGCGCGCTTGCGAGCCTCTTGGCTCTGTGTTACTGTCCTGAGTGGGCCCCTTTGCCTCCTGTTACATTAAAAAAAATTAAGAAATAATAAAAATATTATTCATGAAAAGTGTACTTAAATGTTTTGTTAGAAAGATCAAGATAGGTACTCGTATTGCAAGAATAATAAATTCGTCGTCATATCTTTCTTAGTAAAAAGCACAAACAGGCGAAGCTCCATATACATAGACAAAGCGACTTTGATCAGTCATATAGTCTATGGACAATAGACGCATTTGAAAATGGAAAACATAAAATCCTAATGGAATTGTACAATAATCGATAGTTCACACACACAATGAAAATAGTGCACACAAAAGATCCCAAATATGAAAAGCGTTTGAAAATGGAACGCATAGTTTAAACCGTCTTGGCTGCTTTTGACAGTTGACAGTTTTCACTGTCAAAGGTGACAATGGGGTTTAGGGGTGCGTCAAACTTAGGGGTTATTACATGCGATTGTGGCTATTGAAGGATGTAAAGGGTATATGTTATTGAATTTTTCGCTTCGGACTCTGTTATTATGTTAATGGTGCTTTATAACACTTTTAACTCACGAAAAAATATGGCTTCTTTAGGCGATTGATTTATTACTAATATGTTATATATTATAACGATCACTGAACAACTAATTGTGAACTGTATTTTACTATATCTTGTGTGTCTCTTAAACAATAGACAGTGGCGGATTTACCAGCAGGCTGAGTAGGCTGGAGCCTAGGGCGGCAAATTTGAAGCAATTTTTTTGCTTGCATGATGGTTTTTTTGATGTTTTACACTTGTACATTTGGTGTAGCAAATTCCATATTCTAGAGTAAAACAGCTAGTTGGCTGCCCACCAACCAGTACCAGGGTGGACATCTGCACCCTCAGCTCACACTGAGTGCAAACGAAATTGGAGAAAAATATATTTAGCTAAAGAGCTAAATATATTTTTCTCCAATTTCGTTGTGTTGATAAAGATCAACCCATACATGTCAGTCCTACTACTGGTTGGAGGCTGCGAACTGGACGGTTTGCGTATCAAAAATCCAACCCAATAGGCAATAACATTATATGATGTGCAATTTCAACGAAATTGTTGGATTGTAAAAATAATCTTGGACATGACAATTGTAGAGGCAATATATAAAATAGGCTATACCTTGAAAATTTGTAAAATCACCACTGACAATAGATGCGTAAATCAAATTTAGTATGTAAAGAAACAGCAATTAAAATCGTCAGGACTTTTGGTTGAAGCGGCAGTTAAAGAAGCATATCTTGGACAGGCGTGCCCTTGAATAGGCCACATCTCACTTAACATCAGGTGGAATTCTATCCAAACGTCTGTCCAAGTCTGTAAAAAAATAACTAAAGTGTACGATATAATGTTGGGGTTTTTTAAATTATTATTATTATTAACTAAGCTTCAAAAGCCATTCAAAAACAGAACATTTAAAAATCTATGTCCAATCTTTTGTGTATTTTCTCATATAAATGAGATTTATAATAGTGATTAGTCAAAGTGCGGTTCTGCGGTGGGCGTTGCCGACACGTGTGTCGACGCCCTTAGCTAAGGGTCGCGACACACTAAAGTAGCTTTCAAGTTAATTGCATGCCTGGGGTGGTTTATTGAGATTACGTAATGGGTTTATGTAAATTGCTGGTAGATGTCATCAGTACAATAAAGTCGTCAATACAAAATATTTTAATTACTAAATACTCAAAATGTTTATCAATCCAATTGGTCTATTCTTGGTTAAACATTAACTAAAAAGTTAATTACTATAACGTCTCGTATCCGCTTTGAAATAAAAGGTTAATTCTTCTTAAATGCGTGAACTTCTGGAAGCGTTTGAGATCTGAGCTGGTTTGACGTATGCTTAAAATATCATGGACAGACCGCATACGAAATACAACCGTGCTGGACTTCTGTCCAGAAGAACAAAGAAGTGCTTATGACGGATAAGAAAAGAGAACTTGAATACTTCGAACACGTCTTACTTAATACAAAAAAATACGCAGTGGCAGGTAGAATGAGAAAATAGTTTGGTCAAAGCACCAGCTTTATCAAGAAAGTCATTTTTCAGAAGCGCAGCATCCAAAATTATAGTAGCCATGATGATCACCAACCTTCGAAACGAGATGGCACTATAAGACGAAGAATTCTTATATGCTGCGTGTTCTACGTATATAATATTGGGGTATGGAGGAGACAATTTTATGACTCTTTTATTCATCAAAGGATATTAGCAGCCTTTCATGTCTAATATTTTTGGATGTAATAAAGCTTGTCTGACTTTCAGTATAGGTACAAATATTGATTGCGCAAGAAGTATCTACTCGTATTGCACAGCTGGGTCTAAGAATGGTCTGCTTGACAACTGCTAATTAGAACTAAATAAGTTCTGAATACAGTTCTTTGATCGTCATCAAAGTTAAAAATAATCAATACATTCTTTATGTAAATCAGTTAAAAGCTCAGTTAAGAGTAATGACACACGACGCCACGTGTCACTAGGGTGGAAACACACTTGGCCTCTTGGGGTGATTTGACCGAAATTAATATGTTTTCGCCACTAATTTGCGTAAAGGCACTTGTAAACAAAATGGCGCTGTGGTTATTTTAACTCTCAGTTAAAAAGGTTTTAATTATTCGTTTATTTAAAATTCTACTTTTCTCGAAACAGTATTTAGTTACTGTCAATTAAGACTTAGGAAATAGCCTCCATCATCGGTCTACCAAAATTTATTAGAAAGAGAATCACGCTTTTAAGAAACTGCGGTACAAAGATAGTTCAGAGGAGTTGTTCAGTCTAATACCTGCAGCTGAGTTACATTATCGGACGTCTAGGCAGAATGCAAAATACCATCCGCATCACCTCGACGTCCGTCGTTCCACAACTGAGTGTTTTTAAGACAGTTTTTGCCGCGCACCACCGCTATGTGGAACTAGCTGCCCACTGAAGTGTTTCCGAACCGATTCGACTTAGGGTCCCTCCAGAAAAGGGCGATCCAATTCTTGAAAGGCCGGTAACGCACTTGCGAGCCTTCTTGCTCTGTGTTAGTGTCCATGAATGGCGGTATCACTTAACATCAGGTAAGCCTCATGCCCGTTTGGTGTCTATTACATAAAAAGAAAAGATTGAACCATGGTTGAAGGGTATTTACTACTGTAGGTACTATACTAATATTTTTTGTAATACATTGTCTCTCCAATTCGACATCATGGAACATTACGAACTAGCCTAACTTAAGACTAATATGTAATTTAAGTCTTATTTACTAATTATGATATTTAACATAGAAACTGTCCAATAACACTTCTTACAGTCTCTATTACTAAGACACTCTGTTCTTGTGTTCAATATTTTCACTGACCACTATTTAGCACGAAATTCACCGTCGTTTTAAGGCGATAAAATACCAATATGAAT